ACCTGTTCAATGACATGCCCATCCAATGACCAATTATGTTTAGGGGCTCTCTTCCCATACACCATGATCTTTGTCTTAGTGTAGTTGATTTTTAGCCGTTCCTCTTTACAGAGCTGCCCAAATTTAGATAGCATTCTTTGAAGGCCAATTTTGTTCAGGGATGGCAAAACCAGATCATCGGCATAAAGCAACGTGGAGATCTTTCTACAGCCAATGGTTGGGGAGAAAAAAGAGGGGGAAACCATTTGCGGGATCAAGCTGTTTATATAGAAATTGAAAAGAAAAGGTGATAATGCAGATCTGCTGTGATAGAGCTCCTTGTTGTGTGAACAGCACCCCTTTCCTAGAATAACGCAAACCCTGTCAAGGCCTCTAAATGGCAACCCTTAGATGGATTCTAAAACCTGAACTCTGTTCCCCCCGCCTTCTTTTTTACTTTATTTTATAATGTGGCCATCACTTCTAGAACTGTTTGCTCAGTTACTGTAGATCAGTAAAGGAACAACATCTCTTTGCTATATTGTGGAACATAGCAAAGCGATTGAACTGGCACATTATCTCTTTATCAAAGTGCTTTTAATGAGAGGAGGGGGAAAGACTTGAACTTTGATAACACAGGAGGTGACATGCCCTGCACCATGTTCCACTTTCACAGGCTTCTATTTTAAATTCTGAAAATTTTACTTGGAGTGTTTTTTTTAACATCTGGATTTTTTTAAAAAAATATATTGCTATTTTCACTCTAGGACTCTACAGTGCTACTGGAACTGAAAAGTGTGGTTCCATATTGTATAATCTGCAACCGTTGTACACAGCAGTGCACTTAGGAACTAGATGGGAAGCTGAAAATGTGTATGGGTGCAACTATCTAAAGCAAGGGTCCCCAACCCCCGGTTCGCAGCCCGGTGCTGGTCCGTGGTCTTGGCAGGACCCGGCCATGGAGACAGATCTTCCGCCCCCCCGCACACACTCCTCCACACGCACGCCCACCTGCAAGCATGCCCCACCCGCGAGCATGGGGGGTGCCCCACCCCCCAACTGATCCGTGGTTTGGAAAAGTTTGGGCACCACTGACCTAAAGAACACACAAAGAATACAGTGGTGGTGGACTGGGGATCTTGGAACAAGATATGAGTATTGATTGCTTTGGCCTTGAATTTCATGTGATTTTTGTTGCACTCATAAAATTGAGAAATATGTATGATATTAGCTTTTTTCAGTCTGCGGAACAGTTTACAGCATGCAGGGGCTATGCAGATTTTATTTTTTTTCTTTTAGTTTCAAGCAGTGTAATCTGACAGGATCTAGACAGCACTCTTTTCTTACATGTTAATCTTTTTTGGCCCTTACCTAAAGTGTCACGTGTCCTGCTGTGCCTCTCTCACTTATCACTTTTTGGAACTCTCCAGACCATGACTAGAAATGCAAAAGGAAAGGGAAAATCCAGTCACATTAGAACAAGGGGGCACTCTCACTGACCTGTTTGGTCACGTACCTGCTATGCTGCAAGATGGATATCAGATTTTTTTTAAAGGCTAAGGAATTATCCATGTGTCTTTTTAAATACGGAGCATGGAAAAACCCCATTCTCTCACAGACTTTCACACGGGTGATATTGCAATCCCTTTCAGCCTTAGGTTACCAAGGTGTTCTTGGACTGCAACTCTCAGAAGCCTTCACCAGGGAGTCTTAAAGCTGTGCTGGCTAGGGTTTCTGGAAGTTGCAGTCCAGGGGCACCTGAGTTAAGCAAGGTTGAGAAGCACTGTTATATTGGGGTGAGGTGTGTGTTCTTCAGAAGATGAAGCAGCTATCTGTATGGACTGTTTCTACGTGCTGTCAAGAAGCAAGATGAACACTGGTGACTGGTTTCACTCACTATGCCCCCATTGTTGTTTTACTGAAGTCCTAACTACCGCAAACAGGCCGGTATTATTGCTTCAGCAGATACCAGGGATGTTGGCAAGTTCTTTGGGTTTGAGTCCCAGACTGGTCTGAGTCCAACGAGTCTTTGGTTTCAAGTCCCAAGCCCCAAGTCTGTTGTTGTTGCTGTTTAGTCGTTAAGTCGTGTCCGACTCTTTGTGACCCCATGGACCAGAGCATGCCAGGCCCTCCTGTCTTCCACTGCCTCCCAGAGTTGGGTCAAATTCATGCTGGTCACTTTGATGACACTGTTCATCCATCTTGTCCTCTGTCGTTCCCCTTCTTCTCTTGCCCTCACACTTTCTCAACATCAGCGTCTTCCCACTGTTATATTGGGGTGAGGTGTGTGTTGTTCAGAAGATGAAGCAGCTATCTGTTTGGGCTGTTTCTACGTGCTGTCAAGAAGCATGATGAACACTGGTGACTGGTTTCACTCACTGTGCCCCCATTGTTGTTTTGCTGAAGTCCTAACTACCGCAAACAGGCTGGTATTATTGCTTCAGCAGATACCAGGGATGTTGGCAAGTCTTTGAGTTTGAGTCCCAGACTGGTCTGAGTCCGACAAGTCTTTGGTGCCATGTCCCAAGCCCCAAGTCTGTTGTTGTTGCTGTTTAGTCGTTAAGTCGTGTCCGACTCTTTGTGACCCCATGGACCAGAGCATGCCAGGCCCTCCTGTCTTCCACTGCCTCCCAGAGTTGGGTCAAATTCATGCTGGTCACTTTGATGACACTGTTCATCCATCTTGTCCTCTGTCGTTCCCCTTCTTCTCTTGCCCTCACACTTTCTCAACATCAGCGTCTTCTCCAAGGAGTTTTCTCCCTGGAGAACAAGGTTTTTTCCAGAAAAAAAAACGGTGGGTGGATTCCCAGTTACGTGTTGAGTCCGAGTCATTAAAAAAAAACCTGATTCGAGTCACCAGTATGTACTTGACAGTGAGTCCCCATTGCTGACAGATACCAAGTGGCTGTCTTTTATCTGGCTGATGTTTGAAGGCCACTTCAGCGAAGTGAGGCGTGACCTCATTTGTGTTCTTGTTTTGTTCCAAATAGCTTTGCAAACCTGATTTGATTATGTACACAAGCAAGTCTTGTGTAGCAGAAATCAGTGGAGCATTTTCTGAACAACAGTTCCCGCTCAAGAGCCCTTAGTAGTTATATTCCTTTATTAGTATGGTGTGGTCTCTGGGGTGATAAGACATCGCTCAGATCCTGCCTTTCAAACAGCCGCCCTGCCTTTTTGCTGTGAGCCTGTGATTGTGAGATTTGCCATTTATAGAATAAACATTCAGAGGCACCCAGCAAATGTTACAATGTGAATCTGCATGTGCCAGGAAAAGGACAGCACAGAGAATGTGCCTAATTAAGCATTGAAAGAACTTGTTTTAATAAGGCTTGATTTGAACATATCAATCTTAGGCTTCATTTACTCCCAGCTGCTCCTGGAAAGAATACAGCTTGCAGTGATTGTTGCTACAAAATTAGTCGTGGTGATTTGTTTGTAGTGTAGATCTACTTCCAAAAGAGAATACCAGATAGATAATAGATGTTTCCGTTTGATATACCACACTCGATAAAAAACATAGATTTAAAAATATTTTTACCCTGCCTTTCTCCTCGAAAGGACCCAGTGATGACTATTTGCACTGCAGCACTGATGGGAATTGGTCTTCACCTGGGGGATTGTTTTGTCATCTTGAAAACATACCACAGGAATGTGGAAGGTCTGCTATTGCAATGTGATGCTGGAAAAGCAAGGCGTACTGTAGTGATTTAAAATGGCTAAATCGGTACCCATTGAGAAAGATCAGTAAAATACCATTAATTCTTTCCCAGTTTGAAAACCAGGACCTGCTTGCTGCTAAAGATTTGCACATTTTATTTATTTATTTATTTATTTATTTAATTTATACCCCACCTATCTGCTCAGAACGAGCACTCTAGGTGGCTAAATGTCCCTCTCTAGTCCCCTTCGACCTGGTTCTGTAGAGCTGGAGTAGAATTTGAGTTGGTTTGATTTGTCATCTATAGGATTATGAATTATTGGGCTCTATGAGTTTGTGGTGCATAGGTGTGTGTGTTATGACTATATTGTAAACTGCTTTGAGGACCATTTGATTAAAAAGCAGGATATAAATCATCTACATAAAACAAATTAAATCCTTGGATAGTCTGCAATCTACTAAGTTCATAAAGGCAAGACAAGAAATAATGAAGTCTTATACAGTATCAGCATTTACTGAAGCATAAACTTTAGTGACCAGAGTTTCATCAGATGCATGGTGATATAAGTGGAAGATTAAAAATATTAACATATAAATAATAGTGAAGATGATTATACTGTAAGTATGAAAGCAAACTGTAATGTGCCAGTCGCTCACAATGTTTTTAGGACTATTTATTGGTATAGGAGAGTTTCTGTTCTAGACTTTTATGTTATCACTCTGTCTCATTCATAGAACTGCTGGATTTGTAATCATAATGTGTTCCTATACATATTTTTTTCTTACCATAGACGATCTGCTAAAGAAAGAATGGCTAAGCATTTGTGGCGTGCCTTTTGATTGATGTCTTAGGGTGTCTACGTATGTTATATTCTTCTGTGCCACTTGAATCTCTCAGACTTTTGTTGATATGTACAAGAGAGCCATAGGATAAGCAGGCCACGATCTTTGTAATCTTGTTTATTCAGGCAGCTGGAAGGTTCAGCAAGTAGTCTGTAATTGGTACAATATCACAAGGGTTCCATGCGCCTGCAGGTTCTGTTAGCATAAATATTGCTCTTTCCTCTTCTTTTCTTTCCAGGACACGGCTGAGGATATCCATGCAATTGATAGCTGTGAATACATCTGGGAGGCTGGTGTTGGGTTTGCTCATTCTCCGCCACCCAGCTACAATCACGATTTAAACAGGTGAGGATATCAGAAAAGTGGAAGAAGGCTAATCCTGCTGAGTGCGGTAGACAAGATGGCTGGTGCTATACTGAGAAGTGACATTCCTCGTACTCTTTATGCCTGTGGGTAGACATCTAGCTGCTTAAATCTGTCTTGTAACAAAGGCTAGGAAAGTTGGAGGCTCTCAGTTTCAGGGAAGGGAAGCCTTTCCACAGTTTGTGCAGTGCTCCATATAAGATGAATTGAGAACAGGTCTCCTTCGTGTATGAAACTGTGTGAGCTGATGATGCTAATACAAAGACCATGTCAGTGGCAGCACTGTGTTTTCTTGCTTGCTGTCACAATTTTGCTTTCTGTAGGGCAGGTTGGCTTGGCTTGGGCTTCTGGGAGGTATCGTCCTAAAAAAGCTGTGTTCCCCAGATCTGAGCCAAAAAGATTGGGTGTGGGATGGTGCCAAGTAGGAGAGACCTTTTTGGTTGACTATCACATTTATTGCTGTTCATTAGTAACCTAAAAAGCATTTTTAAAAAAATGTAGGGCAGACTCACTAACTCTGATTCTAACACGGCTCCTCGTGGATACACATTTTTATCCAAAGGAAAATACGTGATCCCATAAATTAGCAAAATAGAGCACCACAAGCAAACAAACACACATCCCTTGGGTGGCCTCCTCCACCTGAGCTGTCATGATTGTGTTTTGTTTTTCAGGACGGAGCTCTTGAAACTCCTGCTGACTTGCTTCTCTGAGGTCATGTACCTGCCCCCGTCCTCAGATAGCAGCAACACAAATCCATGGGTCCAGTTCTTCTGCTCCACTGAGAATAGGTGAGAAGGAGCTGATTGTACGTGGTGGGTGGTTTCAAGCAATTCTGGATTAATTTAATTCCTTTTGTCCTGTTATGAAAACATTTTACACGTGGCCTCCCTAGATGCACTTTGTTCGTGTTCTCTACTCCCTCACTATCTTGTGCCTGTTTTAAAAATGTGTTATTAATTTTCTTACTGTTGCCTCACTCCCCTGCATGCCTAACTTGATGTGCAAGACACATATTTTACCCAGACAATTGGTCTATTGTGCCTTTCCTTTTGTAAGCAGAATTCATTGTACTCCAGTTACCAAAGCACAAGAAAATGGATTTGATTTGACCTTTTTGTCTATCTCATCCCCACCTGATTTTCAGAGATTTATTAAAGCCCACATGTGGACAGTTTTGGTGGCTCTGGCAGGTTGCTTAGGTGATTCGTAATTCTGGATCCTTGGTGCATCCTGCCCTCTTGTGTCAGTTTCCTGGAATCTTTTAAGTCTCAAAATGGCAGCACTTTCCTCAGGGTGGCTGACTGAACTTCTCCCACTAACATTCATGTTTTAGAAAGGGCAGCTGTTTTTCAAATGGCCTTTTTCATGCAACGACTTCATTGTTAATTAAACAGTATCTGGATGAATTGCAAGTATAACTAACAAATCTGCCACATAAACTGATATAACAGATTCATCACAGAGCTTACAGTGTTTCATTTGGGCATCCATATTAAGAGGTATGTGCAGCTCAGCCTTCCTTCTGTATTTTGTACTATTTGAAGCTAAACAAGTGTCTTGCCAGGTTATGGCAGCAGTGCCCTTCATTTTCCTGGAAGGAAGCAGTGCCACTTTTCAGAGAAGAAAGACTTACGCTGTGGTGCTGGAGAGAATATATATAGCATTTCAACAAGAGAGCACTTTGTTTCCATGTCAGGAGACACTTATTTCTGAAGCAGCAAAATAAATTATTGCATTAAATTCCGCAATAGAAATGTGTGTTGTTTTGTTACTTACTGTAAAGTAAGACTTTTGAACGGGGATTTGATGAGTTTAAAAGACTTCCTGTGTTGTTAGTGATTCTGCAGCCATTCACAGAGCCCCAGGCTGCACTACAATAGGCTGTTCTCACCGCAGTAGGTCTTTGGAAATGGTTTGGAGGTAAAATAACAGCGATGAGGGTTCAAGTCTGATTTAGGTTGACAAGCAAACAGAATAGTATGTGGTTTTCCCAAAATAACCGGATCATGTATGTCTCCTTTTCACTCCTCTATTGACTCTGAGGCACTGCTCCCACTTTTTGCAGAGCAGTAAATCCGTGCTAATAGAAGGCATGTTATTTAGGCAATCTGCCTGTTTTGGGAAACCTTATAGGCGCTACAAATGTGTTTTTCCCCCCTCCCCTTGCAATGTTTTGGGTCCTCTTTCAGGCATGCGCTGCCACTGTTCACTTCCCTCTTGAATGTCGTCTGTGCATATGATCCAGTGGGCTATGGCATCCCTTATAACCACTTGCTGTTCTCGGACTATCGTGAGCCCTTGGTGGAACAGGCGGCCCAAGTTCTGATAGTCACACTGGACTATGACACTTCCACCAGTTCCAGTCCCACCATAGATGGCACTACCACTGGCACAGCCATGGATGATGCGGAGGTGAGTTGCTCCCTGGTCTAGCTGTGATGGGAATATTTTGGATAACTGTGGCAGCTGGTTTGGGTTTTCTTTCCAGTTCATAGCTTACGTTTTTGTGACTCCTAGTCAGACAATTGTGTTCCTGTTTTCCATTGCTGTTGTATAAGTGTGTGTGTTTTGAGGTGGGTGTCACCTGCTGCCCAGACCCATGGAGAGTCTGTACCTAGTGGTCTGTCTGAGGTTTACACTAGCAGTGCCAAAGCACAATTGGACACAGAGGAGGAGTGTTTAACTCTTTCCTAACCAGCTACTGTTAGTTCAGATTTATGCTCCCCCATGGCACCTAAGCATTTTTTCTTTCCAATAATAACAAGACATAGTTCCCCATTCAGCCTTCAGCTTCATTCTTAACTTTGCTCAATCCAAAGATATCTGCTGCATCGATATGCAATTAAAAAAAGAAAAACCTGGGGCAAACGAATCACAGAATGATACATGATGTGTTGTTCAATCATAACAAGTCTAAAAGTTGACATTAGCATTCATTAATCTGGAAAATCGGACAATACATATTAATTGCAAAATCCCTTCCTGGGCAGGAAACTCAGGGTGCAACTACACAGTGGGGAAAATGTGAATGAATCTGCTGTAAGTTGGATTTCCCTGGATTAATTCACTTCAGCAGTCTACACAGGAGTCAGCAGAGGGAGGAGAGGAAATGGACACTTGGTCTTGTTTGCAGCTTCTTAAGGCAATTCTGCTGTAGCTGTCCAAATCTGCAGGAAGAGCAGAGCTCCTTTTACAAGCTGGAAACAAGGCTGGTGGATATCTTCTCATTATCACATTCTGTAGCCCATGTGGATGGTTAGTTTGCACTCAAATAGAGCTGTGGGCAATGTGATCTGAACTGACAGTCTTGTGACTTATTTGGTGGTTTGTGGCATTGAAAGGGAGGATTGAGTCTCCCCCTCCTCTGTTTTCATTTACTTTACTGTTCCAACATTTTAATATATTTTCCTATTTGTCCCCTTTCTAGATGAAGTAGTATTGACAGTATTATTTATTTATTTATTTATTTACTTATTTATTGGACTTATATACCGCCCCATAGTGCTACAAGCACTCTCCGGGCGGTTTACAATTTTTAATTATACAGGCTACACATTGCCCCCCCAGCAAGCTGGGTATTCATTTTACCGACCTCGGAAGGATGGAAGGCTGAGTCAACCTTGAGCCGGCTACCTGGGATTGAACCTCAGGTCGTGAGCACAGTTTTAGCTTGCAGTACAGCGTTAGATAGATGCAAAGCTGTTTCACTTTATTTAACAACAACAATGAAAAGGAACATCACAGCTGCCCAGTGAACGATGGCCATGGGGAAGAAGGTGGGAAGGGGAGTGCGATTAATTGAAAGGGGACAAATTGAAGATACCCAAAGACCTGTCTGGACCCTTCTCATGGGAGAAAAAATGTTGATAAGTGTGAACAGAAGATTGCTCAAGTGAGAGATAAAGTAGATTGCACTGAAGATAAGAACCTTTTAAGCACATACCAGACTGCTCCAATTTCCCCTGTCTGGACGTGCCCAAACAGTGCATGTGTGAAATGTATCTTTGTCCCAGCATCAGAATTCAAGTATATGTAGTGCAGTGGGATTTCACTCTATGTGTATGTTTTAGACTTTGAATTACCGAAACTGCTTTGTTCTTGATTTCCTAAAATTGAAAATTACCCTTAAGTCCCAAAGGTTAGCATTTTACAATCTTTAGGTTTTTTTTTTCTGATAGATGGTGTGACATTTTCACTTGCTAGATAATTCACATGTCTTTATGATGCATTTAATGACAAAAAACACTTATCCAGCTTCCTTTTGATGCAGCCTCCAGGTCCAGACAATCTGTTTGTCAATTATCTTTCAAGGATACACAGAGAAGAGGTAATGTGCCCTGTTCTCCTCTTGGCTGTGAATTTGTCTCACCTCTGGCTGCCATTCGTTGTGTTCCATGTGCATTTTCTGCGTTGGCAGGATTTCCAGTTCATTCTGAAGGGAGTGGCCCGCCTTCTGTCCAACCCATTGCTCCAAACCTACCTACCAAACTCTACCAAAAAGATCCAGTTCCATCAAGAGCTGTTGGTTCTCTTCTGGAAACTGTGTGATTTTAACAAGGTACGTGTCTGCTTGGTTCTGTCGTGGATTCGAGGCAGAGGGGAGCCCCGGCAGCTTGCTAAAGGAGAACAAAGGGGTGGTGTGTTTTTTTTAATTTACAGTTTGGTGTGTCTGTCATTCCCAAATATGGCAGACTTGCTCCCATACTCTCTTGAGCGGACTTTTTTAAAAACAATTTTGGCGTGTGGGTGAAGATGTAGGGGAGCAATTTGACCCCTTAGAGCTGCCCTCACGAATTAACCACCACTGCACTAAGTAGAAAGGATGTGTGCATTGGAGTATTTATTTATTGGTTGATTGCTTAAAACCAGAGGTCATCGCAATGTCTCAGTGACAGCATCAAACATGTGTAACACTGTCGTATCACAGTTTCGCTTTTTTAAAAAAAGACTTCCCTTCTTCTTTATGATTTTTGAAGCTTGGTGCAAATCTTCTTTGCTGCCGGGGCAAATTTTGCTACTTGATGGGTAGTAAATACATCCCTGCCCGCAAGCAGCATACAAAGTTGAGCCAATGTTGGGGTGTCACACAAAGTTCTAAGTACTCCTGCAAGGAATTTGCTCCTGGGGTGATCATATAAAGGACAGCTTAACAAATGAGAAACATCTTCAACTTCTCCTGATCCACATATTCAAAGTCTTTGATCAAAAGGGACATTTTCATCTCTTCCTGCTAATATGGCTGTTGGCATACACTGAAAATGCAGAGCTGTGAATGCTTTTCTTAAGGGGCTGAGGTTAAATTAACAAAATAGTCCTTCCTTCCTCCAATCAATCCATGGCTACTCCAAAGTAGCACAATATGCTCAGTGGGGTTCTCCTAGGTAAATGTATCTCAGATTGCAGAGGTAATCTTTTTGCCCACCGAGCCTTCAGCAAAGGACCTCACAAAGCACCATTCTAAAAGATGAGCTTAACAAATGAGAAACATCTTCAACTTCTCCTGATCCACATATTCAAAGTCTTTGATCAAAAGGGACATTTTCATCTCTTCCTGCTAATATGGCTGTTGGCATACACTGAAAATGCAGAGCTCTTTTCTTAGAGGGGCTGAGGTTAAACTAACAAAATAGTCCTTCCTTCCTCCAATCAATCCATGGCTACTCCAAAGTAGCACAATATGCTCAGTGGGGTTCTCCTAGGTAAATGTATCTCAGATTGCAGAGGTAATCTTTTTGCCCACCGAGCCTTCAGCAAAGGACCTCACAAAGCACCATTCTAAAAGATGAAGCTTCTGGAAGACTGGGAGACTCTTCTGGACATGCAGGTTCTCCTCTCTGCTGACATAAGCTCATGGGATCAACAGCTTCGCCTTATTTGGCAGTTTGTGTGTCTAATAAATAATAATTGTGTTCCATCAAGTAAGTTCTGACTTCCGGTGACCCTTTTCATGGTTTTCCAGGTAAGAGTACTCAGAAGTGGTTTACTACTTACTCCCTTCTTCTGGGGTTGCCCTGGGGAATCAGAACCTCCACTAACTCACTGAGCTATTCAGCCAGGTTGTGTATGTAGACCCTGTGGAAAAAAGTAGAGGTTCCACTGTAGTTTCTATGGACGGAAAAGAGCAGATACGGATTAAATGGTTTTCAATGCATTCCTATGGGAAATGCAGATTCAACATAAGAACTTTTCAACTTGAGAACCACCTTCCAATACGGATTAAGTTCTTAAGTAGAGACCCCACTGTAATCTTTTTGCCCACTGAGCCTTCAGCAAAGGACCTCACAAAGCACCATTCTAAAAGATGAAGCTTCTGGAAGACTGGGAGACTCTTCTGGACATGCAGGTTCTCCTCTCTGCTGACATAAGCTCATGGGATCAACAGCTTCGCCTTATTTGGCCAGTTTGTGTGTCTAATAAATAATAATTGTGTTCCATCAAGTTAGTTCTGACTTTCGGTGACCCTTTTCATGGTTTTCCAGGTAAGAGTACTCAGACGTGGTTTACTGCTCCCTTCTTCTGGGGTTGCCCTGGGGAATCAGAACCTCCACTAACTCACTGAGCTATTCAGCCAGGTTGTGTATGTAGACCCTGTGGAAAAAAATAAACTGTGTGAAGAATTTCAGTTCTTTTCTCTTCCTTTCAGAAATTTCTGTTCTTTGTCCTGAAGAGTAGTGATGTCCTCGATATCCTGGTGCCAATTCTGTACTTCCTTAATGATGCTAGAGCAGATCAGTGTAAGTTTGGTCTTGTCTATTTTAAAAAAATGTGATGGAAAAGTTTGTTTAAGCAATCATTCCGATAGACTGTCTCCTCATACCAGAAATGACTTCAACAGAGATTGCCGATTGCGTAGTTCAGTTGATTCTTGAATTTCTATCATCATGGCTACTGCTCTGAAAGGCAGTAGAATTTCCTTTGTAGGATGTTTTTTCTATGTTCCATCTTCACGTTTTTGATGTTGTTTTGTTTTTACCTTTTGGATTTGTCTCCATTGATCAATTGAACAATTTAATCTCCCCACTGTTTTCTTTCTGCAGCTCGAGTTGGGCTTATGCATATCGGTGTCTTTATTCTATTGCTGCTGAGCGGGGAGAGAAATTTTGGGGTTCGTCTGAACAAGCCATATTCTGTACGAGTACCAATGGACATTCCTGTATTTACAGGAACACATGCAGATCTTCTTATCATTGTGAGTGCCACAATTGCCGATGATTCCCGTGCTTCAGTTATCATAAATCATAGAATAGTGAAGTTGGAAGGGTCCTATAAGTCCATCGAGTCCAACCCCCTCTGCTCGATGCAGGAATATAAATCAAAGGATATCTGCCAGGTGGTTGTCTAAGTTTCTCTTGAATGCCCCCCCGTGTTGGAGCACTCACCACCTCTTGAGGTAATTGGTTCCACCGTCTTACTGCTCTAACAGTTAGGACGTTTTTCCTGATATTCAACCAAATTGAAAATTTCCTGCTATTCAGGGAAATGAGGAGGAATGCATTTTAAGAGTGAAAATTCAATTGAAAATTTCCTGCTATTTAGGGAAATGAGGAGGAATGCATTTTAAGAGAGTTGACAGGAAACATATCCATTGCTCCTTGATAGACTCTAATATTGCCAAGAATTGCCATGTACAGATATTTTGGCATTCCTACTTTAATATCATTTTCATTATGTGCTCCAGGTCTTTCACAAAATAATCACCAGTGGGCACCAGCGGCTGCAGCCCCTTTTCGACTGTCTCCTCACCATCATTGTGAACGGTAAGCTGCCTGAACTAGTTTGATACTCTGACCTTAGTACTGAGATTTGCATTTAAACCAATTTTTAAATAACTTCTCTCTTTTTTGTTAAGAAATAGCACAGCAGTGTTTTCTTTTTAACCTTGAAGATGTAGTGACTCTGCATGCCGTTATCATGGGTAAAAAATCTTCACTCTAGATCCTGGTGTACAGCAAAAATATAACAAAAAGTGATATAGAAAAACAATAATATTTTGGCACTTGAAAGACAAACGGATTTATTTCAGTGTGCTCTTCTGTGGATTACATTCCACTTCCTATGAAATAATTAGTCACAGGTTTATATACAGTACAGTGGTGCCTCGCACAGCGAGGTTAATCCGTCCTGGATTAATCCTCGCTGTGTGAAATATCGCTGAGTGGGGCAGAAAAGCCCATTGGAACGCATTAAATAGTGTTTAATGCATTCCAATCGGCTGCTGTACTCACCGTTCAGCGATGTTTCTCCGATGGCCGGCAGCCATTTTCGCACCCTCCCCTCGCTGAACGAGGGTGCAAAAATGGCTGCGATCAGCTGTCTGGCGGGTCCAAAACGGCCGCCGGAACAGCAGAAATGGCCGGCCGCAGTGTTTTTGCGCCCTTGGTAAGCGAGGGGAGGGCGCGAAAACGCTAGGAATAGCAGAGCAGTGTTTTCTTTTTAACCTTGAAGATGTACTGACTCTGCATGCCGTTATCATGGGTAAAAAAATCTTCACTCTAGATCCTGGTGTACAGCAAAAATATAACAAAAAGTGATATAGAAAAACAATAATATTTTGGCACTTGAAAGACAAACGGATTTATTTCAGTGTGCTCTTCTGTGGATTACATTCCACTTCCTATGAAATAATTAGTCACAGGTTTATATACAGTATACATGTTGAGTGTGAGAACTCAGTGAAGATGGATATAGGCACAGACAATTACATTTCAGAGTGACGACAGCATTACTCTTAAAATGGTGGTTTCATAAACTTCCTGATCATTGCTAAAGCCATTGCCAGCCTCTCAGATCAGGAGAAGCTGGGACTTTGAAGTGCAGTGATAGTGAAGCAGGAGGAAGTTTGGGTGGGTGGTTTGATTTCCAGAATCAGTCACTGGTTCAGAGGCTAGTCCAAACAGAAGACTGTAAAGAGAACTGCTGGTTAATATATTAAAATGGTGGTTTCATAAACTTCCTGATCATTGCTAAAGCCATTGCCAGCCTCTCAGATCAGGAGAAGCTGGGACTTTGAAGTGCAGTGATAGTGAAGCAGGAGGAAGTTTGGGTGGGTGGTTTGATTTCCAGAATCAGTCACTGGTTCAGAGGCTAGTCCAAACAGAAGACTGTAAAGAGAACTGCTGGTTAATATATAGTATATTTAGTTCATAATCTTGGAGTTAATGTAGCTCAGTGGTTTGGAGTGCCTGGCTGTGGAATCAGGGGCTGTGAAAGAATTGGGCTCCATTGTGCCTTCTGGGAGAAGGCCAGGAAAGATCACCTGAACCACATGTGGCTGATGGGGTTAGATGCTCTGCCACCCATAAAGCCTTGGGCAAGCTGCATAGTCTCAGTGTACCATCTGAAGGAGAGATTGATAAATCACTTCTGAGTGCTTTGTAGTTAGAAAAAAGCTCTCTTTCCTTTAGAATTGATTTGATGGCACATTGTTATTAATTGATAAGAATCCTCAGTCTCTATTCAAGCCTTTTGACACACTCTGCAATGTTTACTTAATACATTATCTGAAACATTCAGTTTTATGAGAAGTCCTGTGTTTCATTAGGAAGGTTTAAAATATTATTATGTGGGTCTTATGTAGTACCACTCATTTTGCAGTAGATGGCACCCGTTCTTTCCACCAGTGTGATTCAATCGTTTATTAAGAGGCCTGAAATCATCTTTTGTTTAGTGTGAATGAATATTTTTCAATATCTGTTGGTGGTGCTGTTTCTCAACTTTAGTTTTGTATTTTGCATTTTCAGTCTGCAGTAGTCTCAGGGAATGTGCTCCCTCCAATGGAGGCGATGAGCCTGCAATTTTGCCATTTCCTCCATTTATTGAATTTGCACTTAGCATGCCACATTTCCAGGAGCTTCTTGTTGCTGGAGAAGACGGTAATGCTTGGAAAAGTTAAAGACAGCAGGAAAAGAGGATGATGAAATATGAGAGGGTTTGACTCCCGAAAGGAAGCCTTAAGCTTGAGTTTACAAGAGACAAGCAGGGCTATCCATGACAGGATACTTTTAGAGGTCAATCATTCTTCAGGAATGCTGTAAGTCAGCCACAGGTGCTCTGGGGGCGCAATTCCTTCCCCCAGAACCGGTGAGCCCATTCACCAGGCTCTGTGTGGTGCTGGGGTCCTTTGTCGTTGTTGTCGCATCAATCACAACAGGAGCCTGGCCTACTTTCCCTGCCTCCCCATGGAGCTGACCACTTGGACGAGGAGGTGGGACGGGAGATCTCCCGGTCATCTGATCAGTCGTTGGCTGCATGGAGAGGTGGGAAAAGCTGTCTGGGCTCCTGTTGCGATTGGCATGACAACGACAACGAAGGACCCCAGCGCTGCACAGGGCCTGGTGAGTGGGCCAGAGGGTTCTGGGGGAGGGAATTGGGTCCCCACGGCATCATATTCATATCCCCGGAGATACAAATACGAATAGCCGATGTCTAATTTTTACTATTTTACCTGCATGATTTCATAAAGAGCTGAACAGATGGATGGTGCTAGGCACTTAATTATAATGTGAATTCTTGGTTTCCACAATTACCTTTTTTCTTTCTCTTTATTGTTCCACCCTTCCAGTATCTCCATACTTGAAGTCCCTCTCCATGGTAGCTGCCAACAAACTGCTGCACCTATTGGAAGCTTTTTCAACGACGTGGTTCCTCTTCTCCACTGTCCAGAACCACCACCTTGTCTTCTTTTTGCTGGAGGTTTTCAACAATATCATCCAGTATCAGTTTGATGGTGAGTGCCTAAGCCATAAGGTATCCCTACGTCCCTTTCGGATAACTTAGGCCAGTTAAAAGCATTTCTGGAAATATATTGCTCTAACTATACAAACTGATCATTCCCAATTCCCTGTCATAGAAATAGTGCACAATTCAGTCCTTTTACATTTTGATTCTTATTGCTGGGAGTAGGCTCTGCTTTTTTGCCAACATTTTCAATTTTTGCTTTATTTATATGGAACAGTCCAAATAATTCCTTATTTATAGCTACTTCTACTATAAGGATTGCTATCATTTACATTTCTTCACACAGTTTTATGTCAGTTTTAATACACAGTTTAGACCTGCTTTTCCCCTTGTTTTTGCAAAACTTTATGATGTTTGTCATGATAGCCAAAAGTTTAATGAGTGAATTGCCAAATAAAAAATTGAATGCAAAGTTTCTCTCAAATCAGAATCATTTCTCAGGGGACAATAGTAGTCTTCACATTTTCTTTTCCTCTATTAGTATTTAAGCATCCGGTTTCTTGGCAGTATCAGCCAGGAGATGCTTCAGAAATGTATTTTGATGCAATGGTGAAGCAGCTATAGTTCTGTGGGAGCCAACAGTACCAGTTAGTTCTTCCTTGGCCTTGAGAACCTTGACCTTATGGATGTAGAGCGAGTTTCATAAAGAGTAGTAGCTCAAGAGCTGTGCCGTAGGTTTGTAGCCTAGATTTTGTTTTAGAATGACTAAAGGAAAGGGCATGAAAAGATTTTAACTCCTTGCCAGAGAAGGTAAGCTTTATTTACTAAAACACTGTGTTTGCTTATTTACTTAAAGAATACATACCCTACCTTTAATCAAAAAGTATTGCAGAGCAGTTACAGAACAGGATTGTTGCATTTCCTTATGACACCCTTGATGCACTCCAAGTTATTCTCTTTCTCTTTTATTTCTCCTTCCAAATGAAAGGTGGCATATCTTAATGCTCTTTTGTTTCTCCTGTTGCTGTGATTTCCCAGGCAATTCCAACTTGGTGTATGCCATTATTCGGAAGCGAAATGTGTTCCATCAGCTGGCCAACCTGCCTACTGACCTGCAGTCTATCCAGAAAGCTCTGCAGCGCAAAAAGAAAGCTCCTGAACCCATATCTCGCACAAACTCACAGGAGGGCATGTCCATGGAAGGGTCAAGGCCAGCTGTGCCTGCCGAGCCTGGGACGTTGAAGACCAGCCTAGTGGCAACTCCAGGTCAGCCCATAATTCTGTTTGTTGTACAAGAACTTCAATAAGAGATATGTCCAGGTCAAGATTTCTTCAACCTGTGATATATGTTCTGGATGATCAAAGACCAAGATCTAAATTCTTGCAGGGAAAAAATCTTATTTCCATGATCTGAAACAGCAAGAAGCCATCATTTTTATGAGTTCTTTAATTTTTCTGATTGCCTTTTCTGCTTGGAGTATTTTTTGCACTTTCATGTGAAAAAATCTGGAATATTTAAAAAAATATGTTGGCTAAAGTTGACACAAGAGGTTGTGAGTTCTTCTGGAACTTTCAACAGCTTTTAATACCATTGACTTTGATATTTTTCTGGGCCACCTCTCTGGAATGGGACTTCCAGAGTGGCTCCAGTCCTTCCTAGAAGGAAGAAATCTTAAGGTAGTGTTGGGGAACTCCTATTCAACACTCCATGTCGATCTGTAGTGTCCCCCAAGCTCTGTCTTCACCCCTATACTATTTAACATATACATGTGTGCCTCTTCCCCTAGGGAAGCTGGTCACAGCTGGGTGATCTGGCAAAGAATCCATGGGCCCAGTTTCAGATGTCAGGCATAGAGGAGCTTTATTTGAAGTTACAGCACATTCCTGCAGAGTCACTTTCACTGTCAGAGCAGAGGGTTGAGAGATTATCACTGCCCCCTGGGCATCCTCCCCTAACAGAGGGCCCCCAGTTACCCTCACTGAGTTCTCCAAAGTCCAAGTCCAGCAGGGTAGGATTTGACAACTGCAGTCCCCGGCAAGAACTCTGGCTAAACAGCCGGTCCCTTCCCCCTCCTCCTTGCTTGCCCCAGATGATGGATGGGTGCAAGGTCCACTGTCAGTTAACAGCTGCCCCTCTGGCTGGACAGAAACACACCACCCCATCAGCCCCAGCTGGCAGCAGCATTTCTTCCTCTGCATCCACCCAGGATTTGTCATTTGTTGTTCTTCAGGCGAAGGCCCCAAAGCCCTGTTCTCCCTTTTATCTGCTTCCATCCTGCCTAGGCCAAGTGCCCATCAGGTTGATTCTTTCCCATCATCTCCCTTTTCCCTCCCATCACCTCCCTTTTCCCTTCCCTCCTTGGTTTTAACATTCTTCTCTGCCTTATCTCTCCTACCCTGCTTAAAGGGGCCAGATAGGCCCATCATGAGCATGCCAGCTATTCAGCACACTCTTCCTCTCACAACATGTAACCACTGGAATAGGTTGTCTGGAGTTTTGGAGTTTAGTGTCGCCAATATGGTGATGATGCCTATCTCTCTCTTCACTGGCTACTGCTTCATTTGTGGACACAGTTCAGAGTGCTGGTTATGACCAATAAAGTTCTACATAACTTGTTTCTGGGCTATCTAAAAGACCACACTCTCCCATACAAGTCCACCTAGGCTTTGAGATCTGTTGGAAAGGCTCTTTCCATGGTTCTACCACCTTCAGAGGTCCATTGGGTAGGGACTTGAGAGAAAGCCTTCTCTATAGTCACTTAATAATAGTATTTCAAACAAGAAATTTTAAAGTGTTTTAATTAAAAATGTATTTTAATACCATCATACTTTAAATTTTATATTAATATATGTGACCTTATTGTATTTTAATTTTTATTGCTTTTACCTGTATTGTAAGCTACCTTACATTCCAGTTCTGGGAGAAAAGTGGCATGAAAAATAAATAATTCTTGTAGCTTGAAGGGACTTAGTTTCATTCAGCATTCATTGGATGTCCAGAAAACATGCAATCTATAGATGGACATTTTCTTAGAACCCAAACATATGTACAGTGGTGCCTCACTTGACGATGATAATGCATTCCTTTAAAATAGCTGTTAAGCGAAATCATCGTCAAGCGAAATTAAAAAAACCATTGAAATGCATTGAAAACCGTTCAATGCGTTCCAACGGGCGAAATACCTTATCGTGCTGCGAAGATCCTCCATAGGGTGGCCATTTTACAGTGCCTGTATAGCAAGTTGTGCTCTGATGATCCTCCATAGGGTGGCCATTTTACGGTGCCTGTATAGCGAGGAATCTGTCCTTAACACAGCAGGGAGCCATTTTGCACAGGGAGGGCCATTTTGAAACCCAACGATCAGCTGTTTTTAGATCGCCGTAATGCAATAGCGATCGCAAAAAACCCATCATAAAGCAGATTTGTCGTTTAATGAGGTAATTGTTAAGTGAGGCACCACTGTACTAGTGAAGCTGTTTTAGAAAGAGGTAAAATGTGCTCTTAAAAGAGTGGTGAGATGGACTCTACATAGTAGAAAGAGAAATGCCTTGAATGTTAGCCTTCAGGTCTGTTAAGTTGCTGATGCCACGTAGATCTTTTCCTGATGTCTTGAATGTAGGTATTGACAAACTCACAGAGAAATCCCAGGTATCAGAGGATGGCACGATGCGCTCTCTAGAGCCAGAGTCCACACCGTCCCCAACAGAAGGCAATCCACCCGCCGTTGTCAGTGATACAGAGTCATGGAGTGGGGTAAGGCTGCTCTTGTGTAAGGATAAATAAAGCTGTTTTACTTTTTGTAATGTTTTTGTTCTTCATTGTGGTTGCTGTGAATCACACGTGTGGGTGTTTCTATGCCTGCATGAAACTCATCAGAACATTCTAGAATTTAAAGCAAACAACTGTTAGGGCAGCCCCCCTTCCAGTGCACATATCTTTGGGCCTAGCAGTTATCCTTAAGTTCTCTTTAGCTGCTGCTGAGGACACTTTTCAGAGTGTCATTGCCTTGGTGTTCAATCCTTTTGTGAGTTGCCCTAAGAAAAAGAAAGAAATAGTCTTCATCATTTGAGGCCTGCCCACCATTTATGGCCCTGTCATGCCCATTTAAAAAGTGTCTCATACGTCCCAACAAAATTCCCTGGACCAACAAATTGTCTAAATGTTTGTCTTACCTCAGTGAGAGGCACCAGACCCAGACTTGTCAACATTGTCATAAATTTACAAAGGCCACTATGTGAAACCAGCGATTTCATCTCAAATCTCTTTGGGGAAAAGCTGAAGCAGAAACCCTAGTCATCCAAGGATCAATCTGTCGTTCCAAAAAAGTCTAAAGAAAATGGCCACCAACAACCAGATATCATTGCAGAGAAAGAACAGGAGGACCGGCTGTGACTTGGAGGAAACGCCTTGTCTCTAGGCTTTGTCTCCAGCCTTCAGCCAGTCCCTGGAGTGGAATCAGCTTATGTAGCATATGCTGAGTGAGTTCTCTCCCCAACAGGAACCTGAAGACTCCTCTAGGAGCCAAGAACACTCTCACTACTCATCATCCAAATTGTTTTCCACCATATGGGAGAAGAGCGCACCTCACCAGATGGGAGTTTTGGACTTCTAGGACTTCGAGTTCCAGAAGTTGCCTATAATCCCCCAGGCAGACTTCTGTGACTGGGAGAGGAGAATGAAGAAAGCAAAAGAGCTATCTTTCTACCACCATTGCCTACTTCATTCCACACACATCAGCTCGGGAGAAGGGAATACCCCTTCAGTCCCGCTGCTTGCTGGGAATGACCCTTGTGCCTCATGGGGAGGGTAGTTCAATTTGAGGCTCCCCGCTTAGAATTTAAGGGTCAGCAAGACCACCTGCCCCCTCCCCAATACTGCAGTAGGGCAATTCTGAGCAAGCAGTGGGACTGAGGGGGCATTTCCTTCTCTCCACCTGACAGATGTTTTGTGTTCCTCTTTCTTCTCTCCCAGTGCCAGATATCTGCCTGGAGGAATCTAAGCAACTTCTGGAACTTGAAGTTCTATAAGTAAAAAAATAAAAATAAAAATCCCAGCTCTGCACATTACAGTTTGGAAGCTAGTCCATGCTACCATTTTCTCCCCAGGAGAGAAGTCGTGGGGTTTCAGGCCAAGTTGTTAAACACAAGTGATTTTACCTTACCATCAGGAACAATCTAGCAGGTTTATCTATTTGACTTATTGCTAGTGTGCCATCAACATGTCAGCTCAGAATGTTCCTATGTGTTGGAGACTGGAAAGTACACAAGTGGGGCCCAAACAGGTATTTTTATGCATTTATCTTTAGAAAGTTTATTGGGGGCCATGATAGTCCCTAAGTCTATGAATCATAAAGTTCTCACCACCATAAATAATGCAGGCTGGCATTATCACTTTACAGCAGCAGTAAATCAATCCAGAAGGCAGCAGTGGTCCGGACTGAGGACATCCTGTGGCTTGTTTGTCTCTCAGATAAGCAGCATTAAGAGTTCTGGTGATTTAGTGGGCTAGTCAGTGTTTCTGAAGATTAGTGTTATCAGTGAAGAGTTTCGGTGGCTACACAGTTTGACATGCATGGATGTTGATGCTAAATTTATAACAGCTTTTTCCTGGTGAGATGCTGTTATGGTGGCCAATGAAGGACAGAAGACCATACAAAGTCCCTTCGGTGTGGGTTTGGGAGAAGCAAATGAAAAAATAAATATTGTTCTCTGAAGAGGACTATACAGAACATGAAATCGCCAAAAGCAATGTTTAGTTCCATGAAATCAGTGAACACATCCATGACAGATCTCAAGACATGTCTATGCATGTAAACTTCACATATAAAAAAACTTCAAGAAATGCCCCAGAACTAATGAGGAAAGAATATATGGTGGCAAAACAAAGCGTTGCAATTCGGGATGTCTTTTTACACGTTTCCTTTTCCCCCTGAGTCCATGTGATGTACTGTCCTTTACTTTTCATGATCTATTTGAATGCTTGACTCTCACCTAAATAATACACGTCAAGTAGCAATGGAGAGCAGAGGAATGGACAAGTACCTTGCTTGTGTCACCTCCTTAGGAATCATCACAGCCCAGAAGGGACCGGCGGCGCCTGTCTAGTGTGTCCTCAGCTGCTCAGTGGACTCCAACTCCTGAATGGGTGAGATAAGCTGACAACTGTTGGGGTTTTTCACCTTTTAAGAAAACTTTGTTGATGGTAATAGTTTTTTTTTAGAATCTAAAAATTACAATTCTTGCTTCATTAAATAATGAAGATAACATATTTTCTTACGCTGTTTGGAATGGAGAAACCTACTGATTGAATCTGCCACTGTTTTTGATTTGCAGGTGGTATCCTGGAAGTCAAAGCTGCCCCTGCAGACCATCATGCGGCTGTTACAAGTCCTGGTCCCTCAGGTGGAGAAGATCTGCATTGACAAGTAAGTGTCTAAGGTTTGTGAGTTGCTCGGGTCACCCAGTCCACTCACCCAGTCCACTCACCCAGGTTTGCAGCCTGGCAAGTTCCAAAGCACAGGAAACTGGCCGCCATGTTGCTGACATCACGGCGCCTCCTCCCCAGGCTGTTTTGCATCTGGGAGGGCAGTGCAGAAAAAGGAGGAGGCGGGCCAAGTGTGGATGGGTGGAGCCTTCCCTGGTGGACCAGAAAGTGGGAGGTTTCTACTCCAGTTGGCCAGGAAAGAATAAAAGGAAGACCTGGCCAAGCTCTGGCAGTTTGTTGCTTGTCTTTACCAACCACCATCCTTTTTATAGTAGAATTGTAATTTGAGCGTGTATTGTTGGGGGAAAGGTAGGGGGAATGGTCTCTGTGGTTATTTTAGATTTGATTCTGTGATTATTTTAGATTTGACTTCACTGATTGCAGTTTTGCACATAGGAGTGGATTGCTGGCAAGGGAAAGGGACGGGCAGCCCTATCCCAGGCAAGAGTTATCTTCCAGTAGGGATCAAGGAGTGAGGGACTGACAGGGCATGTCCAGCTTGAGAGTCCCCTGCAACAGGTGGCAGTGGGTTTCCTCTATAGTCTTGCATCTGGGAGGTGTACACATGCATGTGGTCACCCACTCTCAGTTGCCTAGCGTGGGGTTGGGAGCTTGGCACTGGCTGGCTGGCAGATCACCCCATGGCAAATAAGAAGTGGCTGCCAAAGGGACATGCGGTCCTACAGCTATAATACCGTCCTTGTTTGCTGCTACATTTGCTGTGCGGTTTTTCAACTTGCACTTCTCCTTAGATGGAGAACTTCATCCACTTCAGCTTTGTTTTGAACAGGACTGTTTCAGCTCAGGGAGTCCAGAAGAAACAGATGGTAGTTGGTGGCAAGCAGAGTAAAGGTGATACTTTAGAAACAAGGGATTTAAATCTCAACATTGTGTTGAACTAATAAAACCATCTTAGGCTGAAATTTCCCACGTGTAGTATAGTAAGTAATATAATAGTGCAATATTCCTTATTAAGCCAATGGTGAATTAATGAGTATGAGAAGCACGTTGCTATTAATATTAGAAAACACATACTTAAATATGTCTGTAATGAGGAAGTCTGCTGTCTCATTAGCAGCAGAGAACAAATCTCTGCCCTGTGTGGTAACTCTTCTGCATTCTTTGAGACAGAATTCTTCTCTGGGCCAAGCAGGTGTTAACCTTCCAGAAGTATTGAAACTGGGGGCATGGGAACTAAAAGGCAGAGTCTTTGCCCCTTGATATACATGCTAACTTTCTTATCGGTTCCCCGCTTCCTTATGACATAGTTCTATGATGAGTTTAACCCCTTTCCCAGGCCAGGTGTCTCTTTTCACAAGTAAGGAATTACCTTGGGAGTTCCCATGTAATATGTAGTTTGCCCTTCCCTCTGCCTGTTGCAAAATCAAGCTCAAGCCAGCATTCTTGCGAATCAGGATAGGACGAGCGATAGGAAGTGTAAATTATTTTTAATGCCTTCTGTAGAATGTCCTGAGAATTTCTGAGAATTCTATATGTGTTCTCATATTCCTTTTCTCCATCCCTTATGGGGAGCCTAGGGTATGATCAGGCAGCAAGAAAGAATTGTGCCTGGTTGCGCTGTGAAGGCTTATTTTGCTGGAGCAATCTCCCTTAAAGCCATCTTTCCATCTGTCTGGGAATCACTCCAGCCTGGCTCCCAAAAAGAGTAGCCCTGCCATTGTACCCCAAAGGTCCAGCTTGGGCTTGGATGGAGGTTGCGATGGAGTGCTGTTGCCTGTATGTTGTGTGCCACAAGCAGTCCAAACTGTGAGCTATCTCCCAGTTGGATAATACCCTTTGTTACAGTAATGGAAGCATCCCGCCCCCCGGTTGCAGCATCCAAGACTGTTTCTGATATGTCTTTTTTTGTTTACAGGGGCCTCACAGATGAATCTGAGATTCTGAAGTTCTTGCAACACGGCACATTGGTAGGGCTACTTCCTGTCCCTCATCCTATCCTGATTCGCAAATACCAGGCAAACTCTGGTACTGCTATGTGGTTCCGCACCTACATGTGGGGAGTAATTTATTTGAGGTAAGTCCATCCCAATTCTCTTCCCTACCCAAATATTTGTTTGCTGAGCAATCCCCTAGATTTCAGAAGATATGGTCCGGGATTGAGACTAGAGGCTATTTTTATTTTGTGAAGGATGAAGCTCACTTCACGTTTGTATGTATAATGTACATCCTATCTGTGACAAGTTCTATAAATGCCATGCTATTATTTTCTTGAAAGCCACTTGACCCATGTTGCCAGCTTCTGTCTACAGATTGGCATTTCATCATTGAATGAAATGGGTTTAAGTTTAAAAAGTCTGAAAACAACATTTAGAAAGGATACTTTAACATGATCATCGTGCATTGATGATAGCAAGGGAAGACGGATTTTTGTGAAGTCCACTGAAAAGTAACATCAGAATCTCTGGTTTTAAATTACAGGAAAGTAAAGTTAAAACTCAGTAAACTATTTTGTAGTGTAAGCATTTAAACTAAATCCTTTTATAGTAAGTAGAAGAGTAATTAAATTATGGTGAAGCTGCCTTGAGGTGGTGAAAATGTGTGTGTGAAAGGTGAGAAGAGAAACGCGCTCAAAAGGCTATCTAGGTTTCTAGGTTTAACTTGTAGAAACCCAGCAGTGCAACTAGCATTTTGGCAGTAGAGAAGGATTCCACGGTTGATGATACCAAAAGCTACTGAAACAGTCAGCAGAACTAAAAGCATACATACATTTCATCTGGGTTCTACTATAGATCATCCATCGGGGGTGGCCAGTGTCCCAGAACCAGGAAGCCAGACCAAAATGACTGCCCTCATTTAAGAGTTATTGGAGTTGGGTCACTACCATATGCTCAAGGACCTGAAAATGAACATTAGCTGTAGTTTGATAATTATGTAATATGATTACTCTAAAGAAGACTCCTTCATTACCACAATTTCAAAATGTTTGGTAGCTTATCTTCATATAATGAAGTGTTTTTATTGCTCCTCATCTGCATGATCAGTTTATCTCTGGCTACTTTAAAGACTCAGGATGAAGAGGGGTCAAGAGCAAAAGTGGTCAGTCTCGTACTCTGAGAAAACTGTTGGCTGAAATGTATCCAGAGCAAGAGGGCAAGCAGAGGCCATATGCACACGGCACAGTGTTTGTTCAGGTGGTTATTTTAGAACTAAATGACTCTATAGCCATTACTTTCTTAATAGGTTTGTTTAGCTTTGATTTGCAACCTACCACCTCAGTTTATAAACGCTTGCTCCCATGCCCTGAGTACTGTTTACATATGTATATTTCCCCCTTTCAGATGACATGGACACTTCTAGGATGGTAATGAGATATCTATCCTAGTGACATTGGATAGCAAAGCTAAGTGTCAGGGAAGCTGCAAATACCTTAGTATTGTAATAGTGTGAATTTTGGATGGCAGCAGGGTAGCAAACTTGCCGGCAGGGAATATGCCTCTGAATATGAATAGCTGGAGGGGTGCCGTGGCACTCACGTCCTGCCTGCTTGTTGGTTCATCGTAGCATCTGGTTGGCCACAATGGGAATGGGATGCTAGGCTAGATATAGGGATTTGTTGTAATCTAGGCCAGCTTTTCTCATGTTCTTACAGTATTGTGCCAATGCAGTTTGTGTGCATTGCATAAAAGTCTCCTTGGGCTAAGGATCTCTGGTACATAGATCACAAACTGACAAGGGACTCTGAAGAGTTCAGGTGTGAGTGGAATCAGTAGTGTGCACCACTAAGCATCAAAACCGTGTGCCCATCTGTGCCTTTGGGTACATTAAGCTCTTCCTTTTGCAAAGCTGTAAGAGCTTTGGGGAGAGGGTCATTATCATAGGCCAAAAACCTAGGATTTCATCTTGTGCACAATAAAATGAATGCCTGTTTCTCTCCAGGAATGTGGATCCTCCCATCTGGTATGACACAGATGTGAAACTGTTTGAAATTCAGCGAGTCTAAGGAATGGGAAGAGAAGAGGAACGTGACTCTTTTTAAAGGAAAACACTGGAAGCAAGGATCTTGCTGTGCGCGTCTTCATCACAGCTCTTCCTTCATTTCACTGCCTGCTGAGTCGATCCAAAGGACAATCACTTCCATTTACTGGCCTGCCACTTTCAAGCTCAGAGACCCTCCCTAACATTTTTTCTTTCCCACCACTCAAGGAACACGGATAGAAGGGAATGTGCAAAGGAAGCCAGCCATGGTGGTTACACTGAAAACCAAATAGTTCAACTTGTTGAATCCTCCTTGTGTGCTGTCTGGGTGGAATGCTGAACCTGACTAGTTGGAGAGGATTCTCTTCACTCCCTAGTCAGATTCAGTCTCTAGATTTAAAAGACACTGAATGTAAAGAGTTATAAAAGTGGACCAATGAAGGAAGCACTACTGCGGGAGGTATCTCTGTGGTTCTTTTCCAAAGAATGTATCCTAACACCTCTTTGTGTTGCAGTCCCTCATGCTGCTGTCTTGCTTTACTGTACCTAGAAGCAATAGCTTCGCTCACTAGGTGTCTGTGGGGGTTCTATTAATTTAAGTCACTTCAGGTCAGTCTGTTGGCTTGGCCCTCTTTTCCCTTCCACACAAAAATGTGCTTAACTACTTTATACTGGTGCTGTAATGTAGCATCCAAATTCCATTTTCCCTTGACCTTCCTTCCTAGTTTTGGAGGCACTCCTTTTAATCGGGTGTGCACCAAATATATATCTATCACATTTTTTGAACTGGAATTAATTGTAAGAATTTATTGCTCAGAAAAAGTTATTCTAATGTGGGGCATTATATGACGGGTGGGAGGGTGTAGGCATAAGCTATTTTTCAGAGATTTAGAGAAAAACTTTTGGTTGTATTTAAATATAAGAGGGGGAAAGCAGGCGGCAACACTGCTGTAATGGGGCTTAATCCTCTTGTTAATCCCAGCTAGAGTGGACCTGTTGAATCCATGGCACCTGTCCCATTTTGAGTTTAATAATTCCCATTCCTTCTCTGGGTCTATTCTAGTTGAAATTCAGGATTGAAATTAGCCCACAGAGTTTCACTGTTTGTTCTTTAGAGAGTGGCATGGTGTGCCTTCTCTTAGTTGATTCAGTTACACTGTAATACATTCAAAGCAAGCCAGATTTGGGAGTTTCTGTCTAATAGAGTTTAGGAGGACTTGCTAAGCCTGAGTAGAATGCATGTTTTGAGTATTCAGTTTTGTTTCTCACGATGCAAACCACCATCATGACAGGTGATCTCCTGGCATGGTCATCACTTGCTTACATGATTTCCAGGATCTGTGGTCCACAGATTAGAATTATAAGAGTATCTGGCCGTTCTTTTTTCACCACAGACGATGTCAAGTGAGTCTAGTAGAGGCTATCACTAGAGATGGGCATGAACGGGAAGATCGGTAGTTTGTAATATTTCATGGCTAGCCACGAACTAAACCCCCTGTCCAGAAAAAGAAAACAGTTTGTGGTTTGTTTGTTTTCTGTTCATGCAGGGCGGTCTACCTGGTCCTGCTTGCCTCTGCCTCTTCTGCCACTGCCATGACCTGCCAGTGCCATTTTCAGAGGCAGCGGCAGGCTCCTGGCAGGGAAGCTGACCCTGCTGCCTCTGTACATGTGCAAGCCGCCAGCTGATAGGTGGGCACACGTGCAGGGACAACAGGCCCGGCTTCCCTGCCAGGAGCCTGCCGCTGCCTCTGAAGTGGCACTGATGGGCCGCAGCGGTGGCAGGACCAGGTAGGCAGAGGCAATGGGGGCAGCAGGAAGGAGGTAGGAAAAAAATGTTGGTATTTCATTTTGCTTTGACAAGACGGGATCCCAGAACCATTTTAGGTCACAAACTGAACCACAAACCAATCCAGTTCATCAGTTGTTCTAGTTCGCGATTCAGTTCGTGCCCATCTCTAGTTATCATTACTCTGCCACCTTTAATCTGACCATTGACTGAGATTTGGGAGGCCATTTTGTTGTAAGCCCCTCTTTTTATCTTTCCTCTTCCAAAGGCTTGCCATCCTCAAATTTGAAGTTAAAACTAAAGATTATCATTGGGTTTCACAGAAAGCTATAACCAGGGACACCTAACATAGCATCAACATGGTTTGCTTATTTTGTTCAAGAACTTCAATGTATGTTTTTTTGTTTTTTTTTTTTTGCTTTATTCCATTCTGGAACAAAGTCAACAGGTTCTAGATAGACAGAAGATGAAAAAGAACAGACTAAAAAGTCATTATTTCTTTTCTTCACCCTTGGAATTCTCTTATTACAATCTCTTCTACCTGATAAAATCCATCTATTTATTTTACCTTTCTCCGATATGGACAGATTGAAGTCTCCATTTTCCTTGGAGTGACTTTTGCTATTGAGATCAGATTTAGTAGTGCCCTAGTAAGGGTGTGTCTGATTGTACCACACTTGCTCTTCACTGCAGAGGGATCCTGATCTGATTCTTATTCCTTTACCCACATGTTTGTGACCTCTCCCAACTCATTTTATTTGAATGTGCTTTTTTTCTCTTGTGAATTTCTCTTGACTTTTGCCTTCTTTTTGGTGTTGTCAGTCTGCTCTTTGTACCATGAAAAATTAAAGTTGCACTGTAAACTATTTGCTTTACATATAGAGATAAAATTATCTTAAACACTGCAAGTGGCTTTAGTCTCTCTGTACCATAAGAGGTTTATGAGTGTGTTTGTGTTCCTGTTGGATTTATGATGACCTGGGGCCCTTTGCATCTGGTACCTTTCCATTCAAGTCATGGCTATGCAGGAGCTCTTGGTTAGGCGTGTTTGTCATGGGAAGCAGTACTCCGAAGAAGAAAAAAGGGCAGCATGGTACAAAGCATTTTCACAGTTGTTTGGGTCTGCTGTGATGTGTGTGTGGGGGTGTTCCTGAATGCCACAGGGGTTTGTAAGTTCAAAGTGTGCAGGATGAGTGTGTGTACAAAGCAAGGTGCAATTCTAAGGCCTTGACACCAATGTGCAAGGTGCTCCAATTAAGGTATACAGTAGGAGTTTTCTTTTTTCAAAACTGAATAGCATGCTTGGAGCCTAGTTAGCTGGTGCCACCCATTTATTGTGAACTTGACTGTAAGAGCACACTTTCAGACCCTGTGAGTGCCTAGCTGTTTTCCTTGCCTGTTCCTTCTTGTATGATCTCTAACCTTTCCCCTTCTTCTTCATGTCAAATCCCTAACCATTGCCAAGGACCTTTCATGAGATTCTGCACTGCAACCTGCGAGGAACGGGGTAATCTTTAACTTCAGAGTGCTAATTTATCCAGCTCCTATTCCTTTTAACAATTCCCACTGACATACGGCTAAATGAAATTAGTATAGATGCAGAGTCCAAACTCGTAAGATCTTTTGTCCTTCTAAGTTTGAGAGAAATGCACTGTTGTACAGATTTTCCTTGAGCTGGGTGCCTAAATAAGCCTTTTGCATCTGATTTGGCTTGTCCTTAAAAAAAAAAGAAAAAGAAAAGATAAGCGCTCTGAGAGAGCCAAGCCCAGCCTGATCTCCCAGCTCTTGAGAATGATTTATTTTGCAAGAGAGCAATAAAACTTGAAATGTTTACACTTCCATCTATTAGCCTTCAGAAACAAGAAGTATTTAGATAGTGCTAAACGATAAATTGATCACAAAGCTGGGGCCAGCTTTTATTCCCTTTTTTAAAATCGATAACCAGGCTGAGTCAAGACCTATCATAATTTAGAGGCAGCTTTCCATTATTTCTCTTTTGCTTCTCTGTGTCCTCTGAAGGGGGGTGGAGAAGCAACTTTTTTTTGAGATGCTGGGGTATTTTCAGGGTTCATCACAGTTCCATTTCTGTACGTTTTCATCCATCAAAAGCAGTGCCTTCACTACTTCTGCTGCGATCTTAGTACAATACGACACAGCTATCCTTTAAAACTATTTGTTTCCATTTCAGTATACACTTGTAGGTAATATTTGGATAAGATGAAAAACAGAATAAGAGGATAGATCCTTTCTACCCTGTCAAACACAGGATCCCTATCTGAACACTTGACAAGGCTGCTCCATAGCAATAGGGAACTCTCAGGGAACTTCTTTGTTGACTTTGTGGGAAGGAATTGTGACCTTTTCGGTACCCTCTAAAGTCTTTATTATTCTTTTATAGCTCTGACACTAAAAGGATTGCTAAGGACCTGTCCACACTGAAATTTAGTGCAATTGTTATCAAAAGGGCCCTTATCTTCAGTGCAATCTATTTTTACTCTTGATATCCATTCACAGATTGTATTTGTCTTCAGTGTGGAAGGGACTATCACTCTCGAATTGGCCTCCTCAGCCACACTAGACGCTGTTCCAAGTCCCATACAGAGCACATTACCATAGTCTCTCGAGACTGAAGGATGCCTAATCTAATTTCATCCACAAAGGCAGAACAAAGAGCTATTTTTGCATCTCAGTTAATTGGCCCCAAAAGATTGCATGCTTTAACCCCATGCCAGGCAGTTACAGGTCAGCTCTTAAAGGGAAAGGATGGTTCATTTTAAGTAGAAACACAAAAGGATCAGGTCTTTTTTCGGGGGGCACCATATACCATAACTATGTGCCAGCATGAACAGGCTAAAAATCTAAACAGACTCCAAAAGTAGTCTTGAACAAGAAAAGCTGAGAGAATTGGTGGGACTGAGAAGTAAATGAGGTATATGGATAAGTAAGTATTCTCTAGGATAAGCCTATTCTTCTTCTAAGTGATTTCCCTAAAGAAAACTACTATGTCATCCCAACTGGCAAATGAAGCTCATGTTTACCTGACAGTAACTAATCACAAATCAAAGCAAGTTAACTAGCACAGTAAGGAGTTAAGAAAGGAGAAGGAGATGCCTTTCATCACTTAAGGGAGCATTGCTTCTAAATCCAGGCTAAGTGCACCATCTTATTTGCTCCTGATCCCGTTTCTCTACTTGATACTAGGTTATATTTCTTCTTGAAGATTACTACAGTACTTATTCTATGCCTGTTGGGGCATCTTGTAGGACAAGGCTTCAGAAGAATCCCTGGAATTGTCTTGTGTGAGATGCATGCTATATTCAGACATCATATTATGATACCTCTTTGGGCATGGCTATGTGCACAACTTCAGTGTTCCTTCTTAACAATGTCTTTTCCGAATAATATCTGTGAGATGTTGCTCTAACATAAGATGGCCTATTTTTTGGTCCCGGCCAGACAACTGTTGCACCCTGAAGGATTAAGATGTTCTTGGCAGGGGATGGAGTCTATCATCTTAAGCGTAGTTTCCACATCTTCCAAAATTTGCATTAGCAGTATACGTTGGAGTTAATGATAGTTTAGCATCAGTTTAATTAGAGACAGTAATGGGAACTGAACGAGGCAATCCTATCATAAGCTACTATGGTGTCTCTGTGTTTCCACGAAATAGTAAGCTACTTATCAGCACATTTAGATTGCCACGATCCACATAGTAAGTATTCAGAAAGAGATTACAAATCTTCCTTTTTAATTTGAAATGTCGGAATAGGTTGGAGGAGCTATCAATACCCATAATTGTTTCATTGCTATTCTTACTCCATTATAAATGAATGAAGGGTTATTTTAACTTCAAACAAACCGATACACCTCCAAGAGATCACCGACAGAATGCATTCTGTAGAACACACCCAGGGGAAGCCCAAAATTGACAATAGCAAACCAGATGGAATAGCCATAAAATGATGTCTCTAATCCATTCTCAAATGATGGATGTGCTCCAAATGATGGCATGATCCACAGCTGGAAAAGCAATGTGAAAAGAATACAGGAATCAAAAGTTGCTTATCTTAGTTTGGTTGGTACGCATTATGTTTGATTTCTTTCTAGTATGTTAACACCCCATTTATATACTGTAACTGTCTTTATTTAGATCACCATTTTTAGACACTGCCATCAGTGACTGAAAACCATAACAGTCTTGGTTCTGATACCACATACTGTTGATCGATGCCCACTGTGGCTGGTGTTGCCACATGTGCAAAGATCCATCAGTCATCTTATGCAGCCTGGCCAACATCCCATATCTATGCCCAAAGCTGATGAGGACATTTAAAAGGATATGGCCTTAATGCCACACTGCAAACTATTTTCATCTACCTGCATTGAAATTAAATACTTACTATGATGTTGCACATGATCAAAAAACTGGAGATTTCCTTCAGAGCTTTCCTCTTCCAGTTCAAATGGTGGTATGTCTGAATGTAGTTCTGTGAGGCTCTCCTGATTCCTTCTCTTTCTTCTAGGTGGGAAACAACTGGGGAACTACCTTCACAGCCCTCTTTTTCAAACTGGTCTTTCTCCTTGTTGGACATGGACTGGGCATGCTCTTGACAAACTTGGGACGCAACCACGTGTCCACTGGGGAGACCCTGGTTTGAGGTAGGATCTCCCATAGAAGAGGCTGCATGGCTAGGGACGTCATTCACCACCAGTGGCTGCCTGTGGAGCCCCTCAATAATGAAGATGTTCTGTGCAATGTGCTGAATGATGATGCTCACTGAATAAGCCAAGTTGATGCTGTTCAACAGATCCTTTGGATTGGTGGCCACAATGGCTACAATGGAAAAGTAAGAGATGCCAATCTGGCCTAAGGCTGCTCCCATAAGCAAGATCACATCAAGGCTCCGTGTTGGATTTTTTACTGTATCCAGTTCCCTTTCTTCTAGGCCATGAATGATGGTTCCAGCTAAAGCCCCTATGGTCATCACAGGTAACAAACAGATGTAATAGGAATAATAGAGTATGAATGCCTGCAGGCTAAGAGTGGAACTGGTGGCTTGAATTTGATATATCACAAAAATACAGATGCCAATGATTACTGCAGAAATGCCAAGCAGAGGCCCAAAAATGACTCCATGGAGTCTCAGTCTAGGCTTGATACAAGTAGTATGATGCTGAGTGAGGTGTCGTCCAACATTTTTCCACATGATGTAAAGCATGGAGCAGGAGATCAGGCAGTATTCAGTGTTGAAGGGGTATAACAGAATATATCCTTTCTGGAAGACCTGGCAGGTGGTTGTGTTTGAGCATTTGCAGGAACTGGTCCAGTTGCCTGGAGCAAGATGGGGGAGAACAGCAGGGTCTTATAGAAGGCTGCTGTGACGTTTCCAGCTTGATTCCTTCAGAACATAATGCTGTTATGCAGTGGTTCTTAACCTTTTTGAAAGAAACGCCCCCTTGAGCCATTGAGGAAGTTATCATCGCCCCCCTCCCCGCAGTGATGATATCTATCTATCTATCTATCTATCTATCTATCTATCTATCTATCTATCTATCTATCTATCTATCTATCTATCTATCTATCTATCTATCTATCTATCTATCTATCTATCTATCTATCTATCGCACTTAAATCCAATGACCCCTGAAAACAAAATTCAATTCCAAGAAAATGAAATGCCCCCAAAAAGTAACATTTAATGATTTAGTTGCAAGCGAATTTTAAGATGCAAAAAGAAATATGAAAAGGGCATAAAAACAAACTGCAATGCAGGAACTAAAAATTTCAAGACAAAAACTCTGAAACCAAATTAAGATTGGAGGAAAATATATATTCATGCACATTGTAAAAAGGCTGCAGCCATCTTCGCCGGTTTGGCTTGCTCCAGCGCTCCCCTACCGCCCCCTTCTGCTCCAGCGCCCCCACGCTGCCCCCTGAAAAATGAAATTGCCCCCTGGGGGGCATTATCGCCCATGTTAAGAACCACTGCTGTTATGCATTAATTCCTTCAATCTAATTCCTTCAGTTATGAGATGCTCACAGGCAGCCTGCATGGGACAGAGGCTCCTTGGCCTTTCAATGCTGGCATTAGTGTTATTTTGGAAATATTTCTTCCTTAATGTGTTTCCAGGGATATAGCTATGTCATTCTGGTGTATTAAAACCAAGACAAAGTGTTGTGGTGCCTTAAAGTTGGACAAGTTATATTTGGCATGAAGTTCCATGGATTTGCAGAAGTGGGTTGTAGTCTAATGGAAACTTACACCAGAGCAAACATGCTAGACTTTAAGGGGCCACAAGACCCTGTTGTTTCTTACCTTACCTTACCTCCTTATGACTTCTGTGTTATCAACAGCTTTGGGTGTCTTGTGTTTTAGTTTCTTAACACTGGAATGTTGAAACTCTTAGGTAGGCAAGAGTCCAAGTAATCCCCTGAGATTAAAATATTGTGTTGCCAAATTGCTAGAGTGGGAGGGTGTTGGCAGATCTGGAGCTCTTTTCTCCTTCTTCCGTGTATCGAGGTGCAGAGGTGGAACCCTCTATAGGGTTCTAAAATAGATTGGGAAACAGGTGACTGACTGACTTTGCTTCTCTTCTTTATATGGGTCCATAGGGGAATAGGATTCTGAGAATTAATTAATTTCTATATTAGTAATGGGGAAGGTTGAAAGGCTTTCCAACGAGAGCTTCTGTGATTAGATTTCACAACCTAGATTAGCAGTTTGTAGGGGTTGGTGTCTTCACAAACTTTGCCAGTTTCTGAGGATGTGTGCATGGCTTCTACTTGGTGTTCAGTTGACGTGTTTTTCATTGTCTACCAGCCACACTTCCTCAGAAAGTGAAGAATGAACTTTGCCTTCAGTTCCATTACCTTTTAATTGAATCTCTTTGTGAAGTGAGTCGTTGGTCACTGCTAAGACCCACAGCAGTAGGTTAGTGGCCAAGGTCAACATTAGACCACATCTGTCAAGGAAAAACACACATTTGTTATGTTTGCTTTTGGCTTTTATGAATGAAGTTGTATCCCACTTATTCATGAAATACTGGTGTTGAATCCTCCTGGTACAGAATACCATAAAACACATGGGGATATCTAAACTGAGGGTGATGCGCAAGCTAAGGAGCCATACCAATAGTAAGATGAATTTCATTTTAATTTAGTCACGCTTCCCTCCCACTCTGAGGTTTGAATACGGATTGTAACAGAAAAAACTGAGACATGTTGTGTCTCATACAAAGTTGAATTAAGAGTTATATTACTCTCCAGGAATTGGGAAAACTGAACCCTGCTACATGCTGGACAGAGGAAGATATAAACTGTGGGGATCTACAACACAAGGAACATAATCTGGTTACAAGATGACCATTTCAAACCAAGTGTGTCCAAATGTTCTGCTTCTGGGGAAAATATGCATACTTTGTGTGTTCATGTGCATTCTGCAAAAAAAGAAATTTTGAAGTTTGGGCTTCTGAAAACTTGGGTCAATGCAGTCAAAACGGATCTGTGCAAGATCTTTCCAAGGCCCAAATGTGCCTTTCATCTGACCATTTTAGTAGCTCTGATGCAGCTGCCCGTTTCCTACCTGGTGATGTTGTGCTCAACTTGGGTACAGTCCTTTGCGTGGCACCATATAAAGTAAGTCTGAAATCAACATAGAGAGGGATATTAGTATAGCATTAGGCTTTCAAGCAGTTCTGTACAAACATGCACAGTACTTTGAAGTGGAACTGGGTTAGTATGCTGCATCCTTGTTCAAGAGGAGAGTAATTTTTTTCCTAATATCTCTTGATCCTATCCCACAGATGCAGTGGCACTCCTTGGGATGTATCATTTATGGACTGGGTGGGGGTGGGGATTACATCTTTTGTATCTCACTATGCATAATACTAAACCACAAAATAAATCTCCAGAAACAGACACAGCGTAGCAGATCTCATGCACATACATGGCAGGAATATATTTAATTTGAGCAGTGAACTGGGAATAGTCACAACGTCTCTGGTCTGTCCTCTTCTTCCCCCTCCCCTACCCGTATCTGCCACCTTTGCCTAACGTTCAGCATACTTTGGAGTCTTGCTCATTGCAGATAGCAGGTAGTGGAAAGATCAAGGACGCTTGGGCTGGCTGAAGCGGCTTTTCCTCTTGCCGCTTTAAATGTATGGGAAAATTTCCGAGTGGAAGCCTGACAAAACAATATACAGCGACTTCTGTTTTTAAAAACTACAAATATTTTTGTGGCTCCTTTAAAGATTAACATGTCCATCAGAGCATGATTTTGCTCTCTCGCTCTCTCGCTCTCTCTCCGTCTTTCTGTGCGCATGTTTATATAAGATCTATAACAAACTGATCTCTGAACTGCCCTTCATTTAGTAGAAGATACGCTATCTCTGATCTTTTTCCTTTCTACACACTGTAGATAAAAGGTTGGCATGTAGCAAAAGAAGGGTCTAATACCTGGATGCAGATAAAGAGTATTCCTATGGATGGGAAAACAATTTCCACTGGGGATTTACAATGAATGTGGATAATGTCATATCCAATCCAGAACATGTTCAGAAGGACGCTGCAAGCTCCAAACAGTAGGAGAGACCCTGTATGAAGAGAGAGAGAGAGAGAGATTGTCAAAAGCAAAGCAACAATAGGGGTTTTTAAAGTAGCTTTTAAAAACTAAGCAGAGACCAAAGGAAACGGACCAAACAGAGTTGTGTGTGTTTCTCCCATCTGCAGTATTTGTCCTCTTGTGGCTGGCTCAATTCTTATCTGTCCCTTTTATTAGCTTTCTAACAATCACATACCTGCCCAACCTGTCAACAGTTAAAAGTTCCCCTAAGGCAGATTAAGAAACATTAGAAGTCTGAAGGAGGAGACATTCTACTGGTTTCGGTTTGTGTAGCCTCATAGGGGTTAAGCTGCATACTGCAGTGAAGACTCTGTTCACAACCTGAGTTCGATCCCAGTCAAGGTTCCTTCTAAGACGCACGGCTGAGCGTATGCCTCCACCTCCCTCTGTGCAGCTTTCCTTCTTCTCTGTGCAGCGATAATTTTCAGCCCTTTTGGTTCTAGTTGCAATGGAACTCCACATGCAGGGAGGCAAGTCATGCGCATGCGCACAGAGGCGAAGTCAGAGAGAGAGGCAGAGCCCAGTGGTGCTGAAAATTAGAGGGTACGTTGATCCCAGTTCAAGTAGTTGGCTCAAGGTTGACTCAGCCTTCCATCCTTCTGAGGTCAGGAAATTGAGTATCCAGCTCATGGGGGGGGGGCAGCATGTAGCCTGCATCATTAAATTGTAAACCACTCAGAGAGAGCTTTAAGTGCTATGGGCTGGTATATAAGCAGCACCCACTTTGCTTTAGTTTGACATTCATACATGACCAGGCATAGTCTACACTTTCAGGTCTGGTTAATATATGCATAGATTTTTGGATCTTGGTGTGTGTATGAGAGAAACAAGAAACATTGAGAAAGGCCAATGATAATACTTGGATGTTGGGAACTGTAGTCCAGTACAGCTGAAGAACATCACATTAAGAATATCTAGTTTAATATATAACACCCTTTAATTGTACATGGAGTAAAAAAATCCCCTGTTTCCCTGAAAATAAGACCTACCCTGAAAATAAGCCCTAGTATGATTTCTCAGGATGCTCATAATATAAGCCCTACCCCCCAAAATAAGCCCCAGTTAAGTGAAACCCCGCCCTCCACCCTTGTGCCGCATTGTGCAGCAACCAGAAGAAGATGAAGTGACTGTAAGATAAAACATCCCCTGAAAATAAGCCCTAATGTGTTTTGGAGCAAAAATTAATATAAGACCCTGTCTTATTTGGGGGGAAATGTGGTATACTGTGCTATTTAGTGGGTACCATAAGGATATTCCCTGGATCTGTTGTATTCAGCTCTGAATTGTTATTTAGTGGGTACCATAAGGATACTCCCTGGATCTGTTGTATTCAGCTCTGAATCCAGCACACTGTTAAAAGTTTGAGTAGCAGTACTTACCTTTAACCCAGATGGGGCCTGCATGAGGATCCCGGCATAACACTGCATTTGCCCTCAACCTAGTGAAGAATAAATAGTATACCATCCAACCTGAGGTCAAGATTTTGAGGATAACCAAGAAAATCCAGACATCTTTTAAGGTAATGGCCACCTTGTTAAAAATCATGCTGCAGATAAAAGCGCTACCTAGAAACACCACATTTGTGGCCATCAGGCCTGAGAAGAGTTGCCCAGCTTTCCTGGCCTGCCTGTCCCTGCGTAGCAATGAAGAGCGATGCCGTTTGAGCCAGGACTTCTCATTGCGGATCTTCTGGCTTCCTGCTTTGGTGGGACCTGACTCCTCTCGTTCTGCTTCCTGAGGCTGGCAGTTCAGCGACACTGCTTCTTTGCTGTCCATGGTCAAATCCTTATTCTCCTTGGCTGCTTGATAGGAAGGAGTATTTGCTTCCATCATCCTGTGAAACTAAACAAAGTTTGATTATGGTTATGGAGTACATGGGTAGAGAATATAGAGGGAGGTTAGGAATGTTTTGGTCTTCTAACATCGTCATCCTACAATGCCTCCCAGTCTCACTCAGTTTGGTCAATGGTAAGGGCCTGTGGGGGTACCAGCTGAAAACATGATGCCCGAGGCTTCCCCAGCCCTGATCTAGAGGTTACTGTTGAATTAGATGTGCCCATTTCTAGGCTCCAACAAGGAATGGAAGATTGCAACAGGATGGGTTTGAAATGTCACATTTTAAGCTCTCTCATAGCTAGATTACTGATTAGATTAATGATCAATATTAGCTCTGTTTTGGGTAAAGGTGGCAGCATCTCTTTCTAGGGTCTCCAGTGGAAGTCTTCCCAAATCCTATCTGGAAATGCCAAATAAAAAAATGTAGCCTATCAATCATCTGAACTGTCCGTAGTCCTCCACAGTTCTCAAGCCTGTTTGTATACTGTTACAATTATATGAAGTAATAATAGCATACTGAACAGGGACCATGTTCTTCTTCCATCACCACTGAGTAATCCGCACCAGCCCCTCTGCCCTTGGGAATGATAGTACAGTTTGAATACTAGGTATCTCTAGGAGAGATGAGAGAAACTTGAAATCCTAGAGAGCTGTGGCCAATCAGTGTTAAAAATATTGGGTTAGAGGGACCAATAATCTAATTTGGCATAAGGTTGTGTGTGTTATTTTCTGTCAAGTCAGAGCTGATTTAGAGCAATCTTAATAGGGTTTGCAAGGTATGTGAAATATTTAAGGAGTGGTTTTACAAGTGCTACCCCCATTTGAGTTTCCATGGCAGAGCAATGATTTGAACCGTAGTTTCCTGAGTCCTTAGTCTGTCACTATATCCACTACACCACACTGGGTATCACATTGATCTAAGGGACCTTCCAGTATCACTATGAGAGAGAGTACTGTTTTTTCTTCCCTGCTCCCCACCTAGCCTTTGAACACTGAATGCTGGAAAGCTTCGACAGTAGCACCAGATGGAGTCTGATTTTGTCTCTGTGAGAGTTGATGTGAACAGTGTTCTGAAGGTGTTTTCATCTTCCATGCCCCAACCAGGGCTCATTTAAACCCACAAACCCGCTCACTATTTATTTATTTCAAATATTTTTGTGCCATTGTTTGAAGCATATTCCCAGGATGGTTTAGAGATACGGTAGAACAGTTAAAAGGTAATCATAGACAAACCCCAAGAAAATAACTTAAAACCCACAAAATTATATAGCTCAACTGCTATTCTTCCTATCTGCTGCATGACCGCCTTTGTCTACTGCTAGTTAAATTCCCCCCTCCATATTCTTTCTGCATCCAAAAGGCCATGTCTCTGTACAAAAGATCCCTAAATGATGTTATTGATAATGTTTGTAAACTGAGAATCAATTGACAATTCAAAGTGGATAAATAATGTGAGATGTTGCAAAAATGGAGTTGCTCTGTCACAGAACCTTATAAGAGACTCTTCATAAAGCTCTGTCAAATATCTTTGGTGGAGCTCAGCTTTAGATCATGATGATGTGAACGCGGAGTGAGAATAGTGGTGAGTTTCAGTTTACTTTGGGGAGGGCATCATTTTATATATTTTTTAAAAAAACAAACCTATCTCCACTGCTTTTAGGAAGAATATTGGCTAAACAGAGCACCATTGCCAATGTTTTAGAAATGCAGAATGAATGCAAATAAAATATTACAGTTTTAGTGAACTGTTGCTCTGGCCCACCCCCATCAGCTATTGTAGCCAGTGCAGTGTCTCCAACATAATGTAATTGCTTTACAAAAATGATAAGGATTGTTAGAACTTTTCCACACATACATAAGCCTCAGGTGGCAACCAGACAAATACAACACAATATCCAGTTTTGAAAATTAACAGGCACAAGAATGAGGGGAAGAGAGGCCACTACTACATTCCCTCATAAATCAGGACTGTGGGACTTGTACCCACCAGATGTCTCTGGCTGCAGTACCCGTTAACCTTAAACTGTATACCCAATGGTAGGGGATGATGGGAATTGTAGTTCATCAAAGCCTGTAAGCTTATGTGGTGTTTGTTCCTTTTTAGTATTTGCATATTTATTGTTTTGGCTTCAATATTGTCTTTTAATGATGTAAACCACTGTTGTATAATTCTTTTTAACTTTAAATATTGTCTTTCAAGGATGTAAGCTGCTTTGGGCCCTTTTCAAGGAGAAGATGGGGTAAAATATTTTAAATAAATAAATAAGTTGATGCATTGCCATTTTAATATGCCACTTACTTTTTTCTAAACTATTTTTTAAAGGGAAAGTCACTGAAATTCCCTGAATGATGGCCATAAGAAAAGGTAGAGGAGGCAGCTGTGTCAACTACCACAAGGCAGCACAACCCCAGCAGAGTCCTGGCTGAGGAGAAAGGTGAGGAAAAGGGGGGTTATCTGGCTTTAATCTCCCCAGTCTTCACCCCAATGTTTTCCCCTTGCACTGTGGCTTTCTTTGGCTGCTGATGCTGCTGCCTCCTGACTCATGAGTCAACTGAGTAAATTTACCCATGAGTAAATTGTTTACCCTTATTCATTATTAAACCAGGTAAACTTTGCTTGCAAGTAAACTGGTGATCCAAAGACCTGAGTGGGCCCTTTTCATGCGAGAGTAAATATCTGTAGTGTGGATGGAAAGATTGCTTGTGTGAGAGAGAAAACAGAAGGCATTGAAGATAAGATACATTTTAAGCACGAACCAAACTGCTCCACGTTCTCCTGTCTGGACAGACCCTTAAAAAAACACCTCTTGTAAAGTTTATTGTCCCTTTGGAATGTTCTGCATTCATATTGCAGTGAAGAACTTTTAAAATTGGTGGGAATGAGCTGCTGGGAAGCAGAACTGCTGGAGGGCCACATAAATTGCCCTCCAGGTGGGGAGGCCAACATGCTGCCCACCCCTGTGTTATTAGGAATGGAGCTGGGCTGAGGCAATAAATTTGGAAATGGGTGGGAAAAATTAGCGAATTTTTAATCCACTAGCAGTATAGCACAAGTACTAGTATGATGTGAAAATTCATTAAACTGCCCTGGTTAGGGTTCTTTTTCTGTTCTCGCCCCCCCCCCCATTCCAATTTTCCTTTTTACAGCTGAATAAGTATCCACTTATGATCCAGAATATTTGAAATATCTTTAGATCTTTTAATTTTATATCACACTGATTTTTAGGTTCCAGAAGTCTTTCCCTTCAAGCTGTAATATGTTGCTTACATTCTGTCTTCTAATAAATGCTTTTTCTTCCTTTCCAGTTGGACAATGGATGTTATCATACCCATTCTGACTTTGGAGCACCAGGAACATTGTGCTACATTCAAACAGGCCTCTAACGGTTTCTTGCCAAAAAGTTATTTTTCCTCCCTATATTTTCCCATTTATTTTATTTTGAATGACCAATTGTAACAATCTGTACTGTTTGCTTTTTGTTATGTGGCTGAAGTATCTGAGCTTCTTCATTTTATGTGGTTTATAATTTCTTAATCTCCATTCACGCTCCTTACTAATTCTTCTTTGATACCCACTTGATCTAAAAAACCTTTAACATCCTTCCCAAAAACCCACATTTCCGATGATTTTGTATTTTATGGTAACATGTGTTAAAGTCTACCCACAAGTTAATAATTATTTCTTAATTCAATAGATAATTATATCTCTTCTCACTGGGATTCTCTTGAAAAACTCCGTTTTGTAATTTCTTGATGAGTATTTTAGCTTTCAAAAAGTGACATTTTGCTTAGGTCCATTTAACTTAGAATTTTCTTTCTATTATCATTTAACAAAAGCAACATCTGTTCATCTATTGTGCAGATTATAAGATAAATGGATGTGTGTGTGTGTGTCTGTCTGTCTGTGCACATGTACATGTGTTAGGTAGACCTTTGTTTCCTAGACAGAGACAGTCAATGGCAGTCTTTCTCAAATGAGTGCCCTTCGGATATATGGGATGATAATCCCCACTGCTATTTACTGTTTATAGTGTGGTATCGGTTTGATCTGATTTAGTATTTGTAAACTCATTGTTTAGTTTTAAATACTGTCTTTTAATGATGCAAGCCACCTTGGGTCCTGGGATCCTTTTAAAGGAGAAAGACAGGGTAAAATACTACAAACAAACATACAAATATCCTCTTGTTACATGGCCAGCGGGGACTATCAAGCTGGAGCAGGCTAGCATTTCAACAAACCCCACCCATGATGTAAATCAGTAATCTAGACACGATTCAAATGGAAGCAGCTCAGAAAGCAACTGAGAAGATTGCACTGCAAATAATTCTTAGGAAAACAAGTTGTATAAGGTCAAGCATAACTTGGAGACCATGGCTCTTTGCTTTTTCATTTCCAAGATGTGCCTTTGACTCTAACCCTAATTCATAGTACTGGGTTTATACCATTATTTACACATACAGACATATATACATGCACGTCCTACATGCCACCTTTCTCCACTTTATAGGCTAGTCAAGTATAAAGAAACATACAACTTTAATCTTATAGCTTTGCAAGACAATATTTTTTGCAAATTCTTGCAAGTAACAGACAAAATATGTTCTGGACATTCGTTCCTTTAAAAAAAAATAAAAGCAACGAGAAAGCGATTGCAAGGTCCCTTACATCTGGTGAGTCTTATCCTATTAGTTGAATGCCATAGGAGTCCTCACTGGAGAGAGAAAAACTTTGAACACCCTTTTGAGTCTGCAAATATACAGGGAGTACAAATGTCCCACCGTGTAATTTGTGCATGACTTTAACTGTAAAAATACAACCCTACAAGCCAAAGCATTAATTCAGGTGTTGAGTTTTTGTTGTATCCATGGTATGTTGCCAGGCTGGCAGCGGGTGTGTAGCTGCACCCACATCCCTCTACTGTGTTATATCTATTGTGTTCCCTCAAGCAAAATGCCCAAACCCATCAAGGGTGTGTCACCCATATATTTAGGGCTGT